AACTATCATTTTCCACCCACATACAGTAAGAAAATATAAGAAACAAGTAAAAGTCAAAACTAATAATTAATAAACATAAGGCACGTGCACCAAAACTGAAAATAATAATAAATATAAGCCACGCATGCCAGATCAAATCGTATAAATAATATAATTATTATTATTAATAAATAAACAGAAGGTGCCAAATTAAAAACATAGTAAATATTAATAGCCAAAATAAATATTAAGTATAATTAAATATAAAGTAGGAGTGTTGAATAAAAATATAATGTTAGGAAATATATACCAGATCAAAATATATAAATATATTTAATAATTTAACAATCCATTTAATTTATCTGGCACAAGTTAATTGTCTTGGTAAGTTTTTGACGTTACGGGTACTAAGAACCGGTAAGACTTCATTAATCAGAGATTCAACAAAATATTTGTTCCAGAGAGCATAGAATTTTACTGGGAACGCTTTCGTACTTGTGCAGTATATGAAATGAACAAACATTGTTTGTCCATAGTCAATTGATATTTGTTCTTTTATTGGTGCCTCTATAATTTTTTGACGGAAACTATTATAATTATTGAAATTTACCAGTTCATCGATGTTGAGCTTCAATAACACAGTTAAATTGTTCAGTAATAAATTTATTTGGATACTTATTTAACAAAAGTGCCATTCGTCATTTTTCTCTTTCATTTAAATATGCTTGAAATGTTGAGCAATATCGAATAGCACTAACAACATCATAAATATTATATTTTTCTTTATATGTAATGGATGAATACTTTGGAATGGCTAATGATATGGTTCATAAGACGGCTTTTGATAGATCGAAGTAAATAATTGTCCATCTTGATTCTAGGCATGCACCGAACCCGGGAACAGACCTGGGATTCCCGGGTTCAGTCGTTCGCGGGGTTCAATCGATACTAACTTTCGACTCATTCCAAATCTTTCCTTCAATCTCACACAGTTTTACTAGCACATAGACTTCACTAGGGAATTTTTGCCAAAGGTAAATCAAGCGCGAGGAATTCGAATCTGAAGTCAGATTTTTTAAATTTTGAATAGAATTTTTTCGGTAAAAGGAAGGGTTTTTCGAAAAAGTAATGATATTTTATAAAGGTTGACGAAAGCACTATCGGGGTCAAATGATTCCCCTCTTTGTTTTTTTGTTTTCATTACTATAGTTCTGTTAGTTTTTTGACCTACTATATATAGACAGATAGCCTAGAACACGCTGCATCTTTTGGTATATTTACATTAAACATCAAATGCAGTTTAAAGAATAAAAACCTTATGAAAAAAAAGTGACATTTTCTTACTACAATATGCAATGTCAATTCAATGGATATCATTTGCTTGTTACTTTTTTGACATAAAATAAAAATTCAAGTAGCTCCGATGACTGACAGCTTATATTTAGGCAGCGATCTCTTATGCAGATATTTGAATTAACACGCCGAGTAAAATTAAGATTTCTTTTGCTTATGTAAAGTTTGAAGGTATCTAGTTACAAATGAAATCATATCGCTGAACGTGTCATGCTGACAGGCACCTGATAATATCAACATTATGTGTGGTTGTCCTTTTTTTCTCTTTCACGTACTTGAATTTTAGAGAAGTTATTAGAGATCAACATCCATTTTCTACAGTTCATATACCATTGGTACTTTCAGAAACTTTCCGTTCGTTAACTAAACAAACAATTGAAAATGCATATCGTAAGTGTAGCTTGATGTATGGAACAGATGAATATTATTATAGACCTTGACATTTTTTCATCAATTCTCTCATTGTAATCTAGATATGTATGTATATTGTTATAAAAAAAATTGTTACTTCTTTTTCTCATAAAGTTTTTATTCTTTAACCTGTATTTGATGTCCAATGTAAATATACCAGGGTGTGGGTGCCTGTAGCTGTGAGTAAAGACAAGATCAAACCCGCACTAATCCAAATTAGAGAATGATGAATTTGTGCTTGTCATCGAACTGTGTCCGAAATATAATGACTTTGCTTGAATGCGTTTCGCCTCCAGACATTTGAACGGCAAAAATTATGTGTCCACGGTACAATTCAACTATCAAGATGAAGATGCGCCAATTCAAGGATAGTTCTTCCCTTGTTCACCTGGTGCTCTGGTTATCGGCTGTTGTGCTCACACAACAGCTCTCATCCGGCAATTAGGTGTTTGTCAAGATGAATTCGACTGTTTTGATAGTCGACTCTCCGCTACCAACTGTCTTCAATAACTTCGAGACTGTATACAGTACTCAGATATTGAACGAGGCGATGATGAATATCATAGCTCAGGAAGCAACAGCAGCGACGACAATTAGGACAGATAATCTCACATTGTTTATTATTACTATTATTATTTCATTACTAAAATGCATTCTATTCTGATACTTTAAAACCCATTCAGACCATAATGGTAGTCCAAAAGTAACAGGACAGATAATTGTTTTCATTTTTTTTCTTTGAACATCGATAGTTACAACTCCTATTTATACTAGATATACTAGGTGATACCAGTCAGAGATGGGACATATTCAAAACAGACAAACATTTTCAAAAACGTGTTTAAATGCACAAAAAATGGCTTAAAATCCCAAAAAAGTGGACGTGTTTGGCTCACAATCGTGGCTTCCGACTGTCAGCGAAAAACAAGCACTTTTTGTCCTTTTTGCACGTTTAAACGCGTTTTCAGCAAAAGAACGCTTGTAAACGCATAAAACGATAATAAAAAGCTGTTATCTTTTTCAAACTCGTAAATCACTATCATAATTACAAACACAGGTCAGGAAAATGCAAAAAAACCACTACTTTTTATGTTCTTTTTATGCGTTTATACGCGTTTACAAGCGTTTTTTTGCTGAAAACGCGCTTTTGAAAATATTTGTCTGCTTCGAATGATCGACCTCTAGGCATATTAATTTGTTGCAAAGAATATAAATATGTCTTAATTCCTTTTATGTGACTCTATGAAATATTCGATGTTTTTCGTGTTACATTGGATTTGCATCTTCTTCTCTGCTTATCGCAGTCTGAGAAACAAAGTCGACTCTATGAGACTTTGAACTCCTTCAGACTAAAAGGAAACAAGAAATTAATTGAATCGAATGTAACGTGAAAAAAATCGAATATTTTATGTAGTCACATAAGAGGAATTAAGACATATTTATATTCTTTGGAACAAATTGATACGCCTAGAGGTTGATTATATGTCCCATCTCTGACTGGCATCACTTAGTATAGGTGGTATAAATAGAAGCTATAAATGTCGATGTATAAAGAAAAAGATCGAAAAACATCATCTGTCCTGTTACTTTGGGCCATCCCGCATGTATAATTTATTCATTAGTATGAGTAATTTTAAAAAGAAAATTTGTCAATCTGATGATATGGTATTTATTTAGTCTCCAAGAGCTTACTGTCTTTAGATATTTTATAAGAAGACAACTTACTAGTGGTAGGCGGTCATCATTCTAAGAAGAGCAAACTCTTCAATACGATGAAGAGTTTTGAGTATTTGGTTTCATTTCAATGTAAAAAGAATTCCAAAAAGTAACCTTTTTCATTTTACCTTATTCCACGAAATCAAACCACTTGAACACTATGACTGAGAAAATCAGTGAATCTCGATACCCGGGAGCTGCTAATCCGAGAATACCTTGTTCAGGAAGTTCGGGCTTGATGCCTGCTTACAAACGTCTGTAATTCGTACATATCTAGTCAAAAGATCCAATATTCACTCACTTTACATTTCTTGCTGAAACTGCAGTTTTCTGAACGGATCTGTGATTTTAAATCAATTGATAAACTAGTCAAAATTCCGACTAAATCCTCTATCGAATTCTTCAAAAATCTTGGAATTCCATGACTATATATTTTTCACCATTAAAAAGTGCCATAGACGATTTCAGATTCAAAATTAGCAGTAATCTGCTCAGAATCGTGACTAAATCTTGTTTCAAATCTTTCCCAGAAACCTGAAATCCCATGACTACACGCTTACTTTAGGCTTTTCTTGTTTACACGGAAAAAGACATCGAGTCTTTCAAAGTAAGCTTATTCAGCAGATGAAGGATCTAACCCAGAAACATCCGATATTTTTCATAGGATTTTCACGAAGATTTGTTTTTCATAAATATCAGAGTTTTTTGACAAGAAGTTATGGAAAAAAATCCAAAACTAAATTTCAAAAATCTGATTGCAGATTCGAATTCTTCCACCTTGATTCGCTCTCGTCAACCTTTATAAAATATCATTACTTTCTCGAANNNNATATACACGATTGTCGGTGTTGTCATAGTTTTCGTTTGGGTTTGCTTAGAGGGAGAAAGTCTCTTAAAGCTGGAAAGATAGTTCTTTGCAATTGCTTTTCACTGTAAATATATTCTCAGTTGAAACTTGCAGGCCATTCGCTTACAGGAGGTTTGGCAAGCCTGGTCCAAACTCAATAGCGATTAGACAGTTGAAAACGATCCCTCGTGAGAGAAGATACATGATTTTTTGTTGCATTGTTCATTCGGTTCACTAAAATATTATATTCCGCTAGAGAAAATCCCTAAGTTTCTCGTGCCTTCCCTCCTCCTCCAGTAAGTGTATGGCCTGCAAGTTTCAACTGAGAATATATTTACAGTGAAAAGCAATTGCAAAGAACTGTATCTTTCCAGCTTTAAGAGACTTTCTCCCTCTAAGCAAAACCAAACGAAAACTATGACAATACCGATAATGGTGTATATGTTGATTCATCTTATTCGAAGGATATTGAATTGTAATCCATGTAATAATAATATTTTTCTATTTATCTTTCATTCTATTATTTACCATGAAATAAACACACGCAAACACACACACATACAACAGAGCCATTTCATGACTGGGATAACAAACAATGTTTCTTTTTTTGACTTAGATTAAGAGTATAAAGCAGAGAACGTGCATGAGAAACAAGAAAAACAGATAGAGTGTGACAGAAAAAAAAATTGAAATGTTAAGTATTCATTGTCGATGTCGATTGTTCATCATTTGCATCAAGTAAAGAAGATGATGATGAAGGTGTAAGAATAATATTCGAAAGATCGGCAGTCGTCATTGTAGCTGTAGGCGGATCTTTAGATTTAAAAATTTTATAACCAATACCAGCCGGTTTTGGTAAAAGTAGTGGAAGTGGACGCAGTGAAACTTTAGTTAAATATGGCGAAAAATTTGTTTTTTGAATTCGTTTAACTTGTTGTTGATCTCTATAAATAGTTCAACAAATTAGAATATCAATATTTCGAAAAAAAGAAAATTTTATCTTACATAGCTTTAGGTGTAGTTGATAAAGTATTTGCTTCACTCACTGCATATTGTATATCACGAGTGAGTCGATCAAAATTGACTTCATTTTTTGTAACAATATTTTTTGTTGAACTTTTATACATTGGTAATAAATTAGCTGGTTGAACTAATGTTATTTTTGATCGAATTATAGTATAATCTTCTTCTTTATTATCATTATTTGTATGACTTTCATTTGAACGTGGTGGTGATGCATCATCAGGACAAAATACAGAATTTTCATCAGCACAATCAGATGTTGTTTCATTTATTGATCTTAGATTATTATTTACTCGAAGTTTATTACGTCGTTGTACATCATTCCATCGGCGTACAATTTTTAATGTTTGATTTGAATTTGTTATCATAGGTTTTATTTCATGAGAATTTATATAACCATTACTATAAATTAATGATGAATTATATTTTTCATTTAAATCAGTTGATGTATGATATAACTAAATAAATAAATAGATGTTTATAAATAAAAAGAAGTAAACAAAAATCTAGATGATTTTCTATCTTACGCGAGAAAGATTTGTGAGGATCGATATTCACGTCTACTATTCTCATTCCAATGTGATAGGTTTCTTAAATGTTTGTTCATACTTTCTGTTCGCCAAAGATTTAGAGTATCGATTAAAATCATTTTTTAATATGTTAAAGCTTTATTCTATTTAATCAAACCGAAACACTATGAGCAGTATGTGCAATAGAAAATTCGAAATCTCACTTGAGGGCAAAAAAACTTGGTACACGAATTCAAATATCTTGGATACTGAATAACCCTCTAAGATTGTTTGGAGTATAATAATCAAGATTCAACACAGAGAGCAACAAGAGTAAATTCATTGCGAATAACAGGCAGTGCATTGAGAAGAACTCTGTTTTAGTTTTATGTACTGCTTATATTTACATGATTATTTGCATTGTCATTTATTACATAAAAATAATGTGATGATCTATCTCATTTCTACTTTGAGAAGAAGTAATGAATTTAGGAAATCTCGAATGCACAAGGAATACTCTATTAAAGGTTTGCATTTGCCGAAACGATTTTTTTGATATGGTGTGAAAACCAAAATTATTATCAGATTCACGCGCGAAAGAGACGTAAGAAAATTAAAACTCTAAGTTTTTAACAGCTAGAGCAGATGAATATAATTTTGTTTAGACTACATAGTACAACAGAGCAAATCATTCTCTATAAAATGAGACATCGGCGAACTCTATACGACATTTCGTTTTGTAGAGAATGGTTTGCTCTATCATCCTGTGTAGTCTAAAAAAAAATTATATCTACGTGTTCTTGATGTCGAAAACTAGCTTCTTGATTTTCTGGAGTCCCTATCTTTGGGAGCTTGATAACAACTATTATTTTCTTATATTCCCTTTGGAAACAATTTTTCTCTATTCGAATTCTTTCTAGAGCTTAGAATGGTCATTGATTATGGCATGTTAGGTTTGCATATATTAGAAAAGTTTCCCGATAAATTATAATTTTAGATGTCCGTAGCCTATTTATATATATTTTTTTAATTTGAATATAAGAAACGTTTACTTACACGTGGTGCAATAGGTCTTGGTTTTAATCGTTGATCATTTCTTATTATTGGACGATAACGTGGATTAAGTAAACGTGTCATTTTTTTTGGTATTTGTAAATCAAAATTTGTTATTTGTGTTGTATTTTCAATATATTCATCATCATCATCAACATTAGAATCATTATCAACATCAGATTCATCATCATTATTAAGCATTTTATTCATATCAAAACGTGTACGTCGACGTCGACCACGTTGACTGATATTTTTATTTGAATCATCAATATATGATGATGATATATTACTATTTTCATTTGTTTGACTTATTGATAACATTGATTCATCAGCATGAAGATTATTTTCGAGATTTTCATGTTCAGATTCAGATGCAGTTATACTTTCATCACTTGTATATTCTTTTGTTTTAATTTTTCGTTCAACATTTTTTTTAATATCATATTCTAAACGTTTTGTTTCAATAATATTAAAATTAATTAATAATTCTTTTAATTTTTCAATTAAATGATTTGATAATTTTTTATGTTCACATAATGGACAATACCAATCACCATCGGGTACAGATAAAAGTATTGGACGTAAACATTCAATATGATAAGCATCATCACAATCATCACATAATAATAAAACTTCTGGACGATCATTTTTTAAACATATTTTACAAATTGTTATTATTGTTGATGCTTGTGCAGTTTTTGCTGTACGTAATTCTTCACCTACTGTATGATTATCTTCATCGAGTTCAAAGAAATTTTCATCATGTTCAATTGCAGTTGGATTAGGAAGATAATCATCAGAATCATATTCATCATCGGATAGATAATCAATATGTTCATCTGAACTTGAACTTGAAAAACAAAATTCATCATTTATATTTCGTCGAGATGTTGTTTTACGTCGACGACGAGAACGACCAGATTTATTATGCGTTGTTGAAGTTGTTGAAAAATCATTGGAAATTTTTGTTTTACCATTCATTGAACGTTTTCTTTTACCCATAGGAGCCTAAAGAAATTTAAAAAAAAAATAATTATTCTGTTCGTTAATCTCATTGTATTAATATAAAATACGTCAAGTGAAAAAACTCTAGAAGACTAAAATTGTTTTTCAAGGATAATCGATCATCAGGAAAACGATCTGTCTTATTTTGGACAGAGTTTTTTTTTTCTTTTTTATATTCTGTTTTTCCTAATTTAACCATTGATTTAATTGACAAATAATAATGATTATTTCCGAAAGTTCTAAATTGATCAGTTCATGCTGATCATATGACGCGACTATGCCAAAGTAATGCAATTGACATCTTCAATATAAACTTTTATCTATACGAAAATCAAAACTTGTACTACTTAGAGAACATTTACAAACCCATTTTAGTCTTTCGTTTTCACAATGATTGCTTCAATAAGGAGCAATTTGACGGACGAGAGAAACTTTTGGCTGACTTTTTCGGATTTCAATGATTTTTTGCCTAATTTCTTAGAAACTCTGTTAGGATCCTAAATTTTTGAAAAGTCGTATTTTCAAATTTTTCGAGTTTTCTTTTTATGAAAGCTAGTCTATTTGGGTTCTCCTTATTCACAAAGTGTCAGATCAATATTCGAAAATATGAATTTTCCGAAAGTCTGACTCATCCATAAATTAGGCATAACAATAATTCGATACATTAGTCAAAAACTGAAAGCAACTCAAATTCTTTTAGATTTTTCTTAGAACACTATATAGTATCTATAGGCAAAAAACGTGATTGAAATCGCAAGGGAGAAGCTGAAGAGGTTTCCTGCTGAGCAATCAAACAGCCTCAAAAAAGAAATGCGTGATTTGCACATCCGATAATGTTCAAAGTAATACATATTATGTGTCCCGGCTCCAATATACCCCTATGTATTGTTGATTGCTTAAAAAGATTATTTTACAAACATGAACTACTCATGTTTTTTCTGACACAACATTGTAATTTCTTTCAAAAGAGAAATAAAAATCATATATTATAGGAAAGTCAGTACTCAATGTGTTAAGGCCGTTTTCCATTCTAAGGAACTCTGATGCCTGTTGTTCTTGATTGCTATGGGAGGTGAGCAGTCACAAAAGCAAATTAATTTCCTATTTATCCCTGTATTGGACAAACTTCGTACAGAATCAATTTTTTTCATGTTAAATTCTTGCTTTATGATCTGAGAAAGAGCATGAAATATTTTTCTATTGTGTAAAAGAATTTCATACCTGTGACATAGTTTTTGAAGACGAAACAGATGTCGGTTCCATTGTTGGCGTTTTTCGTGGTCGTGATGATCGACGTACAGAAAGGCTTGCATCGTCAGTAAATGATTCTTCATTTTGCTTATCATTGTCTTCGATTTCAGAACTTTCATCATTACTATTATCTTCAGCAATAATTTTACGTTTTCTACCTCGACGAGCTGGTGTTATAACTTCTTCTTTTGGTTCATTTCTAATTTCCAATTCGATTTGATTTTTTGTATTGTGTAATGATTTTACTGAACCTCTGGGTCGTCCACGCTTTTTCTTGATTGATTCTTCAGATTTTTCATCTTCCATTGGTGTAAATTCATTGTTTTCTTCTTTTATATCCATGTCGATTTGTTTTGTTAGACTCTTTGATCGTCCAACTTTTGCTTTTATTAATATATCATTTGTTTCATGATTGAGTATTGATTCAACTTCGAGTTTTTCTTCTTTGATTTCAACATCTACTTGACTTTTTTCCTTGGTTAATGACTTTATTGAACCTTTTGGTCGTCCACGTTTCTTTTTTATTGGTTCATTAGGTTTTTTATCATCATGTGACATTGGTTCGACTTTCTCTTCTTCCTTTTGTTGTATTTCTTTTTTTAATGATTTTATTGAACCTTTTGGTCGTCCACGTTTTCGTTTTATTTGAATATCAGGTTTTTCATCGTCCGTTGATATTGGTTCGATTTCTTCTTCATGTTTTATTTCCATTTCAATTTGACATTTTTCATTTTTTATTGACTTAAATGAACTTTTTGGTCGTCTACGTTTTTTCTTTATTGATTCATCTTGTTTGTCATCTTCATCCAATATTGGTTCAATATCGTCTTCTTTCATATCTATAACAGGAGGCAAATAACATTTTTCAAATTCATCTGAAGGTGATAAAGAAGAAAACGGCTCATAATCAATCTTCCAGTCTAAACAAAAATACAAATAAAAAAATAAATTATCATCAAATGGAAGGACAGCAGTGCATAAGAAGGTTTTTTAGGCCATCTTTAATTTTTATCGAATCATGTATTACCTAATGCGAAATTTCATGAAAAATCTTCGGGTAAGAAAATAAATCTATCCCCAAAGGATTCAGTGACGTAGTCTCGTTCAAAACATTGACATTTACTTTTGTACTATGAATGGATAATTCATGCATAGCAGGAGATATATGTTTCGGTGTTTTTTAGAGATGATCTTTGTTTATTAAGAGAACGTGACTTTGTTTTAAATACCATTTGCTAAGTTTTAGACTGATATTTAAAAGATCTCAATCAAGAAAATTACGATTTCAATCAAAAATAATAATATATTTGCAATCAACACAGAAAACTGAGTCAAGTGATATATATTTCTAAGTTTTCGTTCGTACTATTGTTTTGAAGGACTCCAGATCAATTTTTCGCCAACAAAAATTTTTTGAAAAAACATTTAAGTTGATTTAGTTTTCCTCATTAGAATCTTTTAAATATCAGTCGAAAATTCAAGAAATGGTTTCTAAACGAAAATCAAATACTCTTAATAAAAACAAAGCTGCCTTTAAAAAATCGAAGAGCATATCCTCTCACAGTCCTTTCTTCCAGCTTTCAAAACTTCACGCTGTTTTCTTCATATCTCGAAAATCATGAGTAGATGTAATCAGATAACTAAATAATTTTCATCCCGATGGTTAGAAAAAAAAAACATGCATTTATAATGCAAAAAAAACGCGTCTGGACTCTTCAAAACTGACTTTATTTTGTTACCAAACGATTCGTCATTCAATAATCAAAATTAAGGATGGCTCTTATGCACCCTGTTGTTTATGATGTATCTCACCGGAAAATTTTTTTCGAACAACAGAATCCGTAATTAATAATTTTATAAAATTTTCGAATTCATTTCGATCTCTAGAAAACCAAATATATATATAGAAATGGTTTCTTATAATATTTTATTTTACTTACTTAGCAACATTAGTCCATGCTCTATCAATATCAACATCTTCACGAAACAAACGTACAAAACAATCAGTATCCTGTCAGATAAAAAGAAAAGAAATAAATTGAGCATTACGTTATTTATGAAGATACATACCATAAAAAGCCAATAGGAAACTCCAAAACGGTCACGACCTAACGGTGTTGATTTAATATCTCTTGCTGTTTTATCAACAAGCGTATTTTTAAATGTTTGATTTAAATCAAATTGACTTTCAAGTAAATTCTAGAAATTTTTTTTTTTCAAAACAAAATCGATTAATTTTCACATTTATTTACTTTTAAAATTCGAATTTTAACATTAATTTCTGCTTGTAAATAACCTACTGATGATAAACGATCACTATCATTATAATCAAATCGAGAAGCAAACTACAGACCAACAAAATAAAAATTACAATAAAAGGAAAAAAAAATGTTCTATTTACTTTAGTAATTATAGGATCAAATTTTTCTCGTTGAGTATTTTTAGCTAATGATAATCGTTTAAGAAGAATAAAATGAAAATCAATAAGACGTGCTGGAACGGAATCTAAACAGGAAAAAAATTCTATTAATTAATAAACATTATATAAATCAAAAATTTACTTCGTTCTTCATAATTAATAAGATGATCTTCAAAACGTTGTAATGAATAATTTGGTAAATCGAGTATAGATCGAAATTTTTCAAGAAAACAAAGAACTATTCCATAATTAGAATCATTAAGTAACGATAAACGACGTTGATCTTTATCAATGGTTTCGGTTTTTGGACTGAATTCAGTCGAAAGATTATCTTCGGTATTCATGCGTATTTTTTGTTGACTTTTATCGTTTGTAAAAAATTATTATTATTAACAATTTTAAACATTCGAATTGATATAGATAAACTTATGATCTACAATAAATCATGTTTATATGCATTGTATGTAGTTTATAGACAATAGAATAATGTTTGTAAGGAAATGATTTTATGTTGCTTTCATCATGTATGCTGTTGCCCTCGTCCGCAACCGCTTCCATTTTTTATCATCTTTGTTAACGTTAAATTATGATTAGTCAAAGAATTAGCGATTTAAAATATAGAATTAATAGATGTCTCTATTAAAATTTCAATTACATATCATATGAATAAATATTTTGAATTCAAAAATAGATTATTGTTTCAATGATTTTATTTTATGCAATACAATAAACATAGACTAATGAAAAATGTTAATTGTTAAAAGGATATACAGTCAAACGAGATTGATTTTATTATCACAAATCACCTTGAGTGCAACATACAATAAATATAGATAAAACATGTCCTTCTATCGATACACTTATGATATGAGCATGTGAACGTTTAATGTGAGGATGGCCTTAGAAAACTTATTTCAACTATATGATATTGTATAATGAAGACTCTTTGTTCTGTTATTAGAATGATTACAGCCGAATATCATTGAATGAACAATTATGATTGAGCATATTTATTGAATTTTTTCTTAGAAAGTTATTAACTAGAAATAAATTGAATTAGCTTTTGTTTTTCGTATGTACTTATTTGTTTTTCTGACAGTTCTTGAATTGAGAAAAAAAAAACATCGTCATAGATATTTCATGTTTCTTTGCACAACAAAAATATACATCACGAGTATTGAGTCATTTTTGTTTCTAGTGTGAGGAAAGAAAGAGAAGTGCTTTCAAAATCCTTGTGTATAAGTGTTTATATGATTTATTAATATATGTAGGAAATATATAAATAACAATCAATTTTTATCTGTTAGTTCGTCGTATGTTATTTGCTTTTTGTCAATAATCATCCAACAGAAAAGAATTTCTCTTCCTTATGTTTGGTAAATTGTCACATCAATATAAGTGAGTCATTAAAATATTTAAATCAAATTCGCCGTTATTATAAATATTGCTTTGTCGATTAATAATTGAAAATGTTTGAGAGTATCATAATAAAACATAAATGTCAATAAAAACAAAACAAGCAGAAAAAAAAAACAATCTTATTTTGTGTTGTCTCACCTGTCTGACATATAAATATTGGAGCAACTATAAATGTTGATTCAGTCTATGCTTAAAATATCACAACAGTAACTTAATTATAACACATCTTTATCGATTAGTATATTTCTTCAGAGTCATGGGAACAAATACTTCTGCAGCAGAAACTACTGAAACACAATCCGAAAAATATGGAATATCCGTCAATGATGACGATGTACAAGTATGTCTTCAAGTTTTGCTTTAAACGCAACTCTATATTCATTTATTATTGATAATCATTTATATTTATATCTACCTTAGGTTATAACAGGAATTTCATCTTATGATCTTGTTTGTTTGGGTGTTGGTAAAGGTGCTACTGCAGTCTATTCAAATCAAGCGAGTAGTTCATTTGCTCTTCTACATCGGTCAACAGGCGAATGCATTCTTCTCATTGATATTGGTCTTGGTTCAATATTTGCTCTTCAAAAATATTTAAAAAATTCTAATGTCAAACCTCGACAAATATTCGTTTCACATAATCATACAGATCATAGTGGAGAATTACCTGTATATATTGCTAATGAAGCTTTAAAATCTATCGTTCGTGTTTATTGTTATATAGGTATTCAATCTCGTTTACGGCAAAATCGTTGTGCTGAACTTGAATCATCAACAACAGATCTTTTTCATAATGTACAATGGATCATGTGTGATGAATCACAAGATGTTGAACTTGATTCAGGAGATTCGACTTCAAAATTAAAAATACATGTTCAACGAAGTCAACATAGTGAATTGTGTGCTGGTTTTGTTCTTTATGAAAATGATCAACCAATTCTTAGTTTTTCGGGAGATTCAGGTTTTAATGCACCATTTTATAAATTTCTTTGGACGGCACCAACAATTTTAGTTGATGGTCGTGAAACAAGTACCTATGAACATGCTAGTTTTAAGGAAATTACAAATTTTTATAACACAACAGGTGTACAACGACGAGTTTTTGTCTATCATTATGGTCTTGAAAGTGAAAAGCCAACATTTCCTGTTGATTCTATATCAGCTATATCACCTGGTCAAGGTATACAATTACTACTGCCTCAGTAAATTTCATTACTCGATCGATTATGTGCAATGAAGACATCTATTATAATCTTGAATGTATAAACATTGACTATTTTTGCGCTTACATGTAAATCTAGTAGCAACAGAGAAATGAAAAATTCATATGAAATATAAATGCTAGACAAAAGAGGATCAAATTAATTTCTCATTTTCGTATAATCAAATATGTTGCTGTTGTGTTACTTCAATCACCCATGTCAATGTACAGAGCTTAAATTATGTAGGAAAAATTCGTCAACAAGTTAGTCGAATGAATGTTTACAAGTATTTCTGAAGCAAATACTAAACAATGCAAAAGTGTGACTAAGATACTAAAATACTCAAAAGCTTCTGTCACATACTGGTAACAGGATACTTTGAATTCAAAATATTTGCGATGGCATGCATTCATCACATAGAATCGAATAAGACAACTATTAATTTTATATGCAACTTTTAATTACAAATAGTCACTTACAAGCAGATATATTTATTCTTCTCTCATTGAGTTAAACTACTAAAGTAGTGTCTAAATTACTTGTGATATGCTTTATGAAAGTTTTTATTTTATCGAAATTTAAGAAAAAAAAATATACGTAAAGATAAATCTTAGTTGATTTATGCATTATTCTCCATAATTAGTATTACATTTTCTTGAATATTACATCAAATTTCATCAGAAAAAAACGTTTATTGTTATATAAAGCATCCATTTATGCATAAACTGTTAATCGTCAATCAATCATAGCATTCATTTCCTATTATACAAATATATCTCCGACTAAACAACGTTTATTTACTAACGAATGAAATCAAGAATTATGATGTATACTTCCGTTTTACATAAATAGTATCTGAATCATCGGTGGATATAAATTTTTGCATGACAATTTTGTTTCTTTTTCTTTTTTTGGAAAATTAAGTATTCATATTTGATCTATAATTATTTAAATAAAAATATGTATCAAATATTCTCAAACAAAACTTTTGCCAATATGTTAAAAAACTTCAAAGAAAATGTTCTGCTTCATTATTTTCTCTTCTTTTTTTTATCAAGTATTTGTACAGCATATTCATTTGTTCTACTTTGAATTATTTTAACTATCAGTTGCTGCAATTGTATTTGATATAAATAATTGAATATATATTGATTTTTTTACTGTATGGTAAACGATTAACTAAAGTTATGGAAACTATTTGATTAAAAGTAAACAGCAGTACCTTACATCAATAATTGGAAATTCAAAGCACTCTACAATAAGGGTGACTTCAAAAATCGTGGACACACACACATACCCATTGAAGGAGTTATGAAGAATGACAAATACAATGTCGATGTGAGTGCTCAAAACACTAAAATCTATTTGACTATGAATATATCTCTATATTTTCAGAACTCAATATGATGATTTTCTTATGATAGAAAATATTGCATCAGTTTTAACGATATAAATTGGCATTGGGGTGTAGCATTGAGGCATCTTTTACATTATTCACCAATTTACGATCTGAGATACAAGACTTGTGCATTCATTTTTTTTGTACCTAAGAAATAAAAATAAATGTTAGTATGAATTTCAAATTATTGTTTTTTTTTTTTTTTTTTTATTATTAATTGCTGCGATAATAATATACAAATATAAAATTTTTGACACTTTCTCGTAATCAGTGAATATCAAAAAGAAACTCAACACGAGATAAAGCATGACACATAATGAATTAAACAAAAACAATAGAAAAAACTACAGCTAGAGTATGAATGAATTCAATAAAGGATCGGATTTGTTTATGTGAATGAAAGCTTAGCTGTTTAATATAATTAATTTTGCATAAACACCAACTTATTTATCTCGTTCTTCTAATGATTTTTGTGATGGTTCTTCTAACGATTGTACTGATGATTCTTCAGGTATAATAAATCGTCCACAGATTTGTGTTAATGTTTGAAGTTTGTCTTTGTCTGATTGTGTTAATTGTTCCCATGTAAATCGCCAACGCCAATTTTCTTCACAATCTGGTGTAAATATTCTGAAAAAAATATTTATAATAATATAAAAGAAATTGTAAACTCAATTATTTCAACAAACGGATGATTCATTTGACAATCTTCTTCAAGATTAAGTACATCTTGGAATAGAATAATCGATGTATTAGCTACACTTGTATGTACCAATCGAATGAAGTCCCAATTAATATTATGTTCCGGATCACCTTCTTTTTGTAAATATTTAATTAAATTTTCTTTTTCTTTTTTCGTTGCATTGTGACGAAACCATGCAACTATAAATTTTCGAAAAAAAAAGGAAATGATATAACTGATAAAACAAAGAATTTGTTTATAGATAGGCATTACTTGTTGTATTATTATCATGAGTTCCAGTATAAACAACACTATTTGGAACATAATTATGTGGTAAATACATATTACTTCCATTAGTACCAAATCCAAATTGAAGAACACGCATACCATTAAGATTATATTTATCACGAAGATCAAATACTTCTTGAGTTAAATAACCTAAATCTTCAACAATTAATGGTAAATCATAACCAAGTGCTTTGGTCACTGCTGTTAGAAATTCATCACCTAAAAAAAAGAATCAATTGAATGAAAATTAGAGAAAATATAATTAGAATACTTGCCACAAGCTGTAATCCATGAACCTTTGCTTGGTGGTTTCGGTTTTCCATCTGATCCAATTGGAATAGCCCTAAAAAAGATAATATTTGATTTATTTCAAAGTTTTTGGAATATAGACATCGAATCTATTAGTACTAAAGGCATTGCTTAAAGACTATGGTTTGATATCATTATTCATAATTGTCTTTGATGCTGACCCAGGTCAATGATTCCGGACAACAGATCCTGCAGGAACCGGCAGGAAAATGCGGGAAAATTCACCGTATCCTGCAGGAAAACACCGGAAGTCGCCGGAACTGGGTGGCAGTATTCCGGCCGGAAATTCTCCGTATTTTTTCCGGTGACTTCCGGTCAACTTCCTCCCGTTTCCTGCAGGAAGTTGGCGGAAAGGCACCGGAAAAAATACGGAGAATTTCNTGATATACTGTCATATGACAGCATTTTCTTATTGTTACTGACAACATGAAAAAAGGTACCTATAAAACATTTTTGCTTTATTTTATTAAATCACGAGTAATTATCAATATTTTAGTACAAAAAAGAAGCCCCAAATATTATATTTCATTGGTAAAAAAATGAGTACATTTGCACGAGAATTTGGACTTCTAGAGCTTTGACAAGTACCTGATGATGAGCAATGTGCCATTTTCTTCTAATATAATGTTTGCTTTTGAAACTTTCAGGAAATAATGGGTAACTGTTAGAAAAACAACTCCTAAAAATTTCGATTGGATCCATTAAGCTTTCACTGAGTTATGAATTTCACAATGCCATTACATGGTTTTCATGTGCATCAATGATTACAGTAAAATGGTCATAACTCTACAACGGCTCTATGAACTTCACCGAAATTTATACTATAGATAGCTAGAATAGAGTGCTACATAATGAGGTAATGGCCGACTGAAAAAGTCTTTCGTTTCTCGAATTATGGGTTTCACAAAGGACATGACTACTACCTATTATAACTCCGTTCTAACTCGAGCAATTATGACGGGGCTTGTGCCTATGATCAGCATTCATCATAGAGTATATACACCCAAAATTTCAGCTGTCTAGCTCTTATTATGAGTGAAGTTCAGGAGGGGGGGAGGTGAGAGACTTTTGGCCAGCACTGTAAATGCATTTGACATTAATTCGCACATTTCTTGCAAAACACTATATTACTAAATTACGCACTATAATGTTGGTAACAACTTTATAACATTGCTTCCATTGGAAGTTTTAATTTAAAAAAAAGAAAGTCTATCTTACCAATAAGCTTCTAAACCACGAAAGTGATCAATACGAAGAACATCAACTGTTTCCAAAGATTTTTTCAAACGTTTTATCCACCAATCGAAATTTGTTTTACGTAGATTACCCGTCCAATCATAAATCCTAAAAAACTAGAGGTCATAAAAATATATTTTTTCTCAATCTAAGACACCGACGGATTATTCCATAATTGTCCGTTTTCACTAAATGAATCAGATGGTGCACCTGAAATAGTTCAAATAAAATTTATCTATATTATATTACAAATTTTACCTGATACTACTGTTGGTAGTGCAGTTTTTGGATCAAGTTGAAATAGTGATTGATTTGCCCAAACATCAGCACTATCATAATCAACATAGACAGGCATATCTATAAATAAATAAATTCTTTTCAAATATTTTAGAATCAATAATTTTCTTAGAATTTTTTACCGCCAAGAATGAGAATTTCATGTTGATTAGCATACTGTTTTAATTGGCTCCATTGATGAAAAAAAATATATTGAAGAAATATATGTTGATCAATAACATCTGCATATTCTTGTCGTTTTTGTTTTAAAACTTTTTTATCGCACTGTTTTAATTCTTTTGGCCATTTTGACCATGATTGATTATTTTGTTCAGCTTTAATCGACATATAAAGCGTATAATCATCAAGCCAGTATTGTTCTTTTTTAACGAATGCATCAATTTCTTTTTTTAATTTTGCTAAATTATTTTTTTTATAATTATTATATGCACGATTTAATACACTATATTTCCATTTCAATACTTTCCTAAGTTCAATTTGATCACCAAATTTTGGTCGATTAGATTCAATATCCGATTGAACAAGTAGACCGTCATCAACTAATTTTTCTAAACTAATCAATAATGGATTACCGGCAAAAGCTGATGTACCAGAATATGGTGAAGGTTTTTCGCTGGCAGTTAAAGGCAGAATCTGTATAATAAAAAATAAGTACAATATAATTTTTAATTTTGTTTTCTAACCTGCCAAATTTTTTGATTACATTCAATTAAGAAATCAACAAATTTATATGCTTCATCACCAATATCTCCGATACCATTTGGTCCAGGAAGACTAATAATATGAAGAAGAATACCTGATCCACGATCAAGTTTTACCATTGCGGTAATAAAAGTAAAAAATGTAAAATAAATTGATCTAAAATAAAATAAATGTCTTGAATTCGTATCGTAGACTATTGTCACAATTTCTCTTCTTTATATATCCCGGCTCAGATAAAATCGACTGAGTCCATCTGTTTCTTTTTCCTTCACATGAAAATTCATGTGTACTCGACACGTGCATACCATCAAAGAATAGCAAAAGAAACACTTATCGATCGCATATAGCTATTGACGAGAAATGCACTCAATAACCTGTAAGATTTTTATTGGATAAATTTCCAAAGGAAAATTCTCGATCTTCTATTTATTTATCAGGTTTTTTCCACAAATTGTTCAATTTTTATAGACTTTTTGGTGAATGCCCGTTCAAAGCTGGGGCGTCGATAAAAAATTATTTATGAACAATACCAAAATTCACTGCAGATTAAGTTCTTAGTGTCGCTAGATGACGCCATCACTATGATGTTTCCATGGAATGAAACACTAAAAAAATAGCGAAGAAAGATCCATTGATAAATCATTTTCTCCCTGTTTTTACATATTTCGTTAAATATATCTTCATCAATTTTGACTATCCATTGAATTAAATGTGAATTTTTCATACGGAAAGCGTCTTTTCATTACAAATGATATTAAAAAAACAAATTAAAAAAATATATGAGTATGATCTGATCCTTAAAATACGGTGTCAATGGGCGCTATTCAAATCTGATTATCTAAGTAATCACAACGTTTTAAAACAATGTCTAAAATATATAATTCGATGCAAAATTAAATGGGATACAAAACGAAATAAAAGTTTTTTTGGCAATCGATCTCTGATCCGAACATTTGGTCAAAATACTGAAAAAGGACAAAATTTAAAGTATTGAAAATTCACCGTATTTGAATTTTCTCAATGTTATATTGAGGTTAAAGAGAAATTTCATATATACAGTTTTGTAGAGCAAATCAAGCTCTATCGATTTGTATATGACTTAATTTGAACAGTGAATATATTTCAAGGAAAAATTCACACAAAAATGATAGATCAATTTTTGACATTTTTTAGGGATATGTTTTGGGGGTGTTTCAGGTTGATTCATTCTAGCCGATCAAGAGTAGATCTTTAGACCGTAATATTTTGAATTATTCTATGGTACACCAAGGAATAACTACCTATGAGGTCAAATTCGGGATCTCTTCACTACCATATTTTTTTATATCGAAAAATCTTCGGTTTTTTTCATGCAATATCTCTTAAAAATGAAAAAAAAACTTTAATAATTTCTCATTTTATTTGTATTATTAGTACAAACTCATCTATCATCAATTCAATTGATAGATCAAACATAAGTCAAATCGATTTCGTAGTTAAATATACAATCTAATTACATAACGACGGCATTAGCACTTACGAAAGAAATAACTACTATTTTATATCATATCTGGAGTTATGTTCTTTCTGTTGACTTCGTATCTAGACAAATAGATGAAAACAATTTTGAATAAGGATAATTTGAATGAACGATTCGTTTTTTCTTCACAAAATTTTAATTGATTAAAATGCTGGCTTTGATTGAATAATTTCAATACGTAAAATTAGTTTATCTTTAATCATTAGTTCCACACATCGCTTACAAAAGAATGACGTATTGTTCAGTTTTAAATGTTTCAATAGTAACTCTACTAATAGATTCAATATCTTACAGTTTTATTCATACATAAGTACATTGAAATAATTTACAATAACAATGTGTTCTGATGTATTAAAGATAGATTTGAATCTGCAGAAGAACGTCGGAGTCGATACGGTCGATTAAGTGGCCATTCATGTAGTTGTCGTCGAATTATATATGGAAAACAGGGTGTAATAGATGAAGATGATTGAAATCATATACGAAGTGAAACAAGCTGTTTCAAATGATTTACAATTAAATGAATAAGATTAACAATGTGTTTTGAAGATTCATTCTGATCAGCGACACTCCGTGGTCGTTCCCAATACCATCCATCAAATGACTTGTAGACGACGAAAAAAATGTCTTTCAAATTAGGTAACTGATTAATGAGTAGCGTACAATAATCTTGTACATCACGCATTGTCAATGACCAATCGAATAGATGAAGTGATTGTATCTAATAAGAAGAAATTAATTTTTTAAATCAAATCTTTTTCATTTCATCACGAATTAAGATATCTCGTTTCAGTTAACATTTTCAAGTGTTACACATCTTTGAATTTCATATTTTCGTTGCAAATAGATCTCTAAAGAACTAATAAAAGACTAAAACCATAGGAACATATGCCATAGTAAAGAACAGTTATAATCTTCCAAAAATGTTCATCTGGAATTTTGCCTATCGATAAAACTCATCATCATTCGAATTTCCTGAATATGTCAAAATCAGGAAATGTATCCTTCTCAAGATATTGAAATCCATCTATAGACAAAATTTCAGGTCAAAACTCTTTTCTCCCGTTTCTCGGAAAATGTCTTGCTATAAGTAAAAGATTGTAAGTCTTCAACACAAAACCATAGGCAAGGATACTCTGAACTTTTGTTTCAAGTATGTAGAAATTTATTCGTAGTGAACATATAAAATTGAATATCGTACCCACTACCAAGAATGTTGCTTCACCAGTCAAATAATAAACTAAAAGTCTACGCTGATTGATATCTTGCAAGAATAAATTTAGGCTTTTCGAAAAACATTTTTGTTGAAAATAAAACTCAGTATGAATGAAAATAGAAAAGCAAATTTTACTTATACTTTTCTTTCTATACAGAAATACTTACTTGTCGATTAACAATTGTACCGAGATTATCTTCGTTACGTAGTAAACCACGAGGCAAAACACCATCATCATCATCTATTTCTAATGTTTGTATGTTATAAGGTAATTGTAACATTGATGCGAGCTGAGCTGTACTAATTGTATCGTAATTGTCAATTGAAATTTTTATTAACAATGACCATGGAACGAGTAATGACATCGAACTTCTACAACTACTGAGATCTGCAAGACAACTTTCTCTCTCACAAACAATGATTAATAGCTTGTTAGCGTGTGGAAATAATTTTTCTCCACTAACTGATATTGGACAAGATCTAAATAGAGACGAAAGTGTCTATAAATTCTTTGTGGAAGTGAAATATTTGATACATACATTTGCAAATATTCAGAAAAAAGAGATGTTTCAAGAACTGTACCATTATATAGTGAAGTGTAAACAACAAAAGAATAAAAACCATTAACACAATTGGAATGCCTAGGATTCTCTTGAATAATTATCGCCGGTCGTTGTCGATGAGTGAATGGAGCTTTAAAGAATGAATTGAGGATTTGTTTTCCTTGCAATCGTGCCTAATATTCAGTCGTAGATTAAGAGTATAGGTTGCACATGGTTTGAGTCGATTGACGCACAATTGCTGAATGGTGTTACCTGATATAGTCAATGGATCAGATACTGATGACCATGCATCTAACATTAGTGATAAATGAGTAATTTGCCAAAATACAAATGATAAAAGCGCAACGGCCCGATAAAAACTTCTATTACCCACACAGGTGACGGTAAGACGAGATAAACGATTGAGAAGACGAGTGTCAATGGTGGAAGACAATCTAAATGATTTTATTTGATTGATATTTTTACAAATCACAATATGTAACTTACGTAAGTATATCGAACTTATCACTCTCATACTTCTCTGGATCTTGTACACCAACAGAAAGATTTTCAATAAATGGCACACAAAGAAGTAAACGTTCTAGAAAGCGTGATGTGTTCATACCAATGGTTAATGATCGAAGATGAGTTGTATTGGAAAGATTTGGTAAAGTCATCAATGGTGGTGTTGATGAATTTGTTGATAATCCATTACGAGTATGAGAACAAAAAATAAATGGAAGACGACAAATCGTTAGAGTAGACAATTGTGAACAAACCTTTTTTTTAAAGATAAAGAAAATAAAATGTTCTATGTAATAATACTGAAAGATTTTTCCATTAAACAAGAATATACAGGTTTCATAATAAACTGAAGTAATGATTTTGCTTTCTTACCTTTGCCAGATATGCTCCTTCCACGTCTTGATAATTGAAATCGCTGTCTGATGCCACATCAACCAGTAAAGTATGTAATTGTTTTACTAAAGAACTCCGCAAAAATGTATCAAACTCATATGGTTTAATATCGATTAAATGAAGACGTTGAAGTAATATTGTTTGATGGTATTTTAGAGATGATGAAACGAGTGACCAACCACCAATAACATTGCTTAGTGTAATACGTAATGAAACAACCCGAGCTCCTATTAATTTTAACTCATTTTGACAACGATGATTGAACATCGATAATGATATTGTATTACCACCAATATGGATATGCCACAAATATTCATTGATAATAATTGCTGAAAAGCGTTTATTTAATGATATAAATGATTGAAGAATTTCAGCAGGAGATAAATAAGCAAAAATTTCAAAAAGAACAACGACAGGTAAAAATTTAAACTTGCTCAAGGTCATTCTCTTTATGCGTTTTATTCATTCATATTAAGCTAAATATATATATGAAATACAGTATTATGCACGTACGTCTGTTTTCTTTGACGGGTATTGCTTTCATAATTTCTCTTTTATATTCTAAATGAATTGATCTGAAACAAAAAAAAAAAGAAGAAAGTGTTGTCACTGATATTTATCCAATGTATGTTTGAACGATTGTACAATGTCACTCGTTTAATCTATCGTTGATAAATAGTTTTCAAGCATTATTCGAAATGTTATTACTCAACACTTTCAGTCAAAAATTATTCAAACAAAAATAATATAGTTAAATTTTGAAATTTAATTATTGGCTCTTGACGGAAATAAGAAAAAACTATAAAAATGAGTTCTTTTCGATATGATCAAAATTATCATTTATATTCATTTTACAAAATCAAGTTTAATCTCACATAAATGACAGACAAAATAATCTTAAGAAATATGAATAGTCCTGAAACTCGTGTTTATTATTTTCAGTCTAAAATGAACTTGGTCTTCGAGAATAAAAACTTATCAGTCTGTTCTTTCAAACAAAATAGTTTTGAATTAAGCTTGATCAGTAGTGATTTTATATGCATTTCTAAGTTAATGTTGACTTTTGGAACAGTCTTGTGTTTATGTTGTTTTTTCTCTTCAATCTACTTATTTACAAATAAATACACATTGATCAAACAGTCAATACATTATTAACATTCGTTTTACAGTAGGATGATAATACACTCAATGATATACATTAGTATTTTCTTTTCTTAGTTTCGAAAGATAAATATCAATAAAATGAAGTATATCAATTACGTTCAATTGATATTTGCTTTTAAAAGTAATGTGCTCTACTTTGTTTTAATAATTATTTTCTAATAAACAATTCTTCTATTCAAAACAAAAAACTGCCATTTCTAAGAGGAATTGAACCTAAGCATAATCAATTTCTTCACAGAACATGGTGCCATTGATGTTACCAATTTAGTTAGTATTTTTACAGCAGGTAGATCCAGCAAAGTTAGGAAGAAACTTAAGAAATTTCAGCTCAAACAAATGAGCCGTTCTGAAGATATAGATGATATAAGTATCAGGAGGTCGGCTACATTTAGAGTGCTTTCATAGAGCAGTTTTTTTCAGTAAATTCTCATTTTCTACACACAACGACAAGAGTTATAATCGATCATGGTGTATGTTTTCATGGTAATGAAAACACCTTATCGTCTGGCACTTGCTCTTGATATTATATACTTCTTTCAGAAACCATGGTTACTTAAATATGATAAGTTAGTTGAATCAGCGCGATGAGTTGCCTTGACAGTAATATCGTTCGAAAGAAAACATCAGAATGCACAGAGTGGCGTTTTCAAAAGTTTGTAGGATTGAATTTTTCTATAGGAAAGTTTTTCAACAATATTTTGCTGTTTTATCAAAAACTCTGCTCGTATGAAAAGAGTTATACTCGATATTTTTAACATATCATTACTACATATTGTCACTTTTCGTTAATTAGCTATATATTGTGATACCGCGTGGAATTCTACATCTCCTGGTACATTATTCACAAGGTAAAAAACATACACGGATACTTAGTAGGAATCACAGTTGGTGCACTAATGAAGGAGTCCTTACCCACTGATATCCTCCGTTTGAGCTCATATTTAGCTTACAGGTGGGACTGATAATGTAGATAAAATCATTAAAAAAATTCGTTCCATTGCTGCTTTTATCCAAAGAACCAGGTAAAATAAGTTTGTGTAGAAATAGCAGTACAGGATTTCCAATAGAATATATCGATGGCATTTCAACCATATTGTGCAAAGTTGATCTTCGATTTTGATGAAATGTTTAATGCTTGTAGAGCTTTTAATTCTGAGCATTGTGATAAAAAAAATTTTCTAAAAGCTTTATTTTGAAACAGACGGACTTAGAGTATTATGAGCTGCAAAAAGCGAAAAACGATGAAATTTGAGTCTTTTTAAATTGTGCCAAATTGTTTGTGATGCTCTAGTTCACTAAAACAAAACAAAGTCAAAGATGATATCCAATACTATAATCGAAATCCTCATTAATAGACGCATCAAATTCGTACCAAAGTCGACTTTAGTTCTTGCGAAAACCATTTCTAGTATGTGTTTCTCACGATTCATCTTCACTCTCAACAAAACAGTATTTTCCCACGTCAGTGATTATTTCAGACAATCTGGTTCTTTTTTAAAAATGAACTCGACTTTGGTATGATTTCGATATATTGTTTATGAAGAATTCTAATATGGTGTTGGATTTCATTTTTGACTTTGTTTTAGAGAATTAGAGCACCAACAACAATTTGGCACAATTGTAACAAAAAAAATCAAGTTTAAACATTTTTCGTTTTTTGCTGCTTACAGTATTTTAAGTCTACATCTATCTAAATAAAAGCTTTTCAGAAACGTTCTGTTGTCAAAGTCCTTAGAATTCAAAATTAGACAATTTGCGAAATTTTTATCGAAATCGGGGTGAAATCCATAGGCGTCGTTGAGATCCTATGGAAAAAGATAGTAGAAAGAATGAAATGATAAGTTCATTATTTTGAGGGTAAGATCAGCATAGTCGCAAAATATAACGTTACTTGCGCCTAAAAGTATAAAAATAAAAGTTTTTGTTTGGATTATTGTATTAACAAAGGCTGTATTTGAGGTGATCGAAAATTGTACCAAGAGATGGCAGGCTTAAGGCCTTCATGTACAAATGTATTATATCATTTCTTAGTAAGTAATCAACATAAAAAAAATAATATTAAAGAGCCATCCTAGTAAAAAAGTGATATTGTGGAGTGTATTGAAGTACAATTAGAAATTTGTCTGAGCTCATTAAAATTTTACATGCAAGTTTTCTTTCTAGCTAAAAGATCGAAAAGTTCTATACTTGAGAAAGTATTTAAGCTTAAGTTGCAGTCTATTGCGACGATCGATTAAAAAATATTGGTAAAAAGAATCATAGGTTTTTGATATGTTAGAGAAATATTGACGACGCAGAAGACATATTGGCACGTGATTTTTTCACTATTTCAGCGGTAATCTGTCTATTTGTACATCAAAATAGAGTTATATTGCACATGACATTTCCTGTTGATCAGGAAAAAACTGAGAAATAATGACCCATTTCTATCTAAAAGCAACACAAAAGAAAGATATGATTGTTGAAATAGTATAATCACAAAGTTGATTTTTCCAAGAACCAACTTTTGTTTTCTAAAAGTAGATAGAAGGTAACGGGTCAGACTAAAATTCTGCATAATTTTTGTTTTTCGATAGAGCGCTGTGATCGAATTACATTTTTACACTTGATACTTTGCTCCTTCTACTAAACAGCAAAGTAATCTCTACCATATTTCATCACAATGTTATATGAAAACTATTATTAATATAAAGCTTTTGTCCCACTTGTTACTTCTTTGACTAGTTGCTAGTACTGATTTTAATAGATTGACATTCGAAATGAATCTCATTTTAATTAAGTTAAGAATAGATGTCATTATCGATTCTCATATATTGCTTAAAAAAAATCATATCATTTTTTCACCAATGAACACTTCATTTCTCATCATTAGTACAAAGTTGATTGCATAGCATATCCTTTCTTCTGCTATACTTTATGAACAAAGAAAATAGTGCAGTTGAAAAGAATTAGAATTACTTTTGAAATCAAAACTCCATTAGATTTCAAGAAAATTTAGATGATTCAACAGAAGATTAAGATTTCAATAGTCTGAAGATGAGCCAATAAAAACCTCTAAAAACACAGACTGCCATGTCTTATAAGACTTCATTGACATTCGAAAGATTTTATAAGATGTCGAGACCTACATGGCTTGCTATTTTCCACTCGATGAGAGATGAAGTGGCTGTTTGTTTTGAAGGCTGATACAAGCACGGATCTGAATACATTCGACCGATTTATATCGAAAACCCGGTCTACCTGAAATTTGTACGAGAACCACTTTTATCTCTGTTTTTGATACAAAGTGCTATAAAATAATTGATGTCAACGACAGTTACAACATGACAAGACAAACATAGCAGATTAATCCTTATTTGATAAAATGTTTGTATTTATATTGTTTGACAAGAACATTATAAATGGCATGTGTTTATTCGAACGAATGATGCTCACAGAATCAAGAGGATAATGAAAATGAGAATGAGGACTTATACTTTGAAACTATGATTTTTTTTTTGAAGCCATCTAAAATATCTTTAATTCTATCGACAGGTAGGTTGAGAGGTTTTGATAATCTGAAAGAAAAGATTTCTACGAAATCGAGTCACTTTTTTACAAAGTGATTATTGTGGAATCAAGTGGATAATATACATGTTTATTTTATGAAATACCATAGATTTGATTAAATAAGATATGATAGATGATTCTCAAAATGAATGCTAGCGAGTAGAAATTAACCCAATCATCTAGTTACTTAAGTACCTTTATGCAATATTTTTCGGACTGACTAAGTCTTGAATGCTGATTTTTTTAAATATTTTCACTTTCGTTGCATTTTAGGAAAAGAGAGCTTCTGTGACACAAAAAAGCACAATTAAGTAGTAGATGCTTAGTTGTTGAAATTCAAATGGAATATGTGACTTAAAAATAATTATCAAATAATAGATATAATTTCCTTGCATTTGTATTTATACTATTTTTTGAGTTTGCTTGATTTGTGTCGCTTTGTTTTGGTTTCTTCACATTTTTCTTTGTTTTGATAATGTCCAGTTTTTTTCCTTTCATTTGGCTATTATCAAATAGCAACCTGCTTTATTCGTTGTACATTAATACAGTTATGATTTAATCACTTGATATTTTACCAAACTAATCATTGTTCATACTTATGGATGACAGAAAGAAAGAAAATTCTAGTTCCAATTCTATGCACGAATATTTTGCTGGTAACACTAATAGGAAAAACATGTCTTTCATATGATATTCATGTGTCTCTATTGATCGATGATCAAGAAGGAAAA